GATTATTTAAAACAAATCAAATTTTAATAAAAAAAATATAATTTTATAATTAATATAAATTTTTTGATTTTTTTTTTTTTTTTTTTTTTTTTTTTTTTTTTTTTTTAATTTTTTACTTTTTCTTCTGATTTTTTTCTGGTATGATGAATTGATAATCACTGATCGTCAAAGATCATAGCGAAAGAACTACACGAAAGAATCGTGAATCAACACAAAATTTACGTGATTTTTGTCATTCTATCGGTACAGCGGCATCGCCACATTCTAAAACATGCACTATAAAACTTACTAAAACTCTTTCTGTAGATCATTTTTACCAAAACTGGAGCAAAAAAGAAAAAACCCCGAAAGCAGAATACTCAAGAAAATACTAACTAAACAGGTCTCAGGCCCTTAAGTAAACTTGTCCAGCACAGCTGGAAACATAATAAAACAATAAGCTCCTATAGACATTTGCATCTAAAAACAACTACTGGACGAAAGACAAATAGACAACACCCTTTACAACTTTTTACCCACAAGTGGCGAAGGTTCTATGGACCTGTCAACCCCACTTTCAGAAACATCTCAGGACAACATGCAAACTGTTGACAGCAGTACAAATAATAGTTCAATGCAAGCCTCTACACAACAGACTCCCAATACCTCCGGACAACAAAGCGGGTTCTTTATTCACTCTCTAGTTTATTTCTCTCACAAGACAACTAGCCCAAAGGCTACAGCAACAACTACTAGCACACAACAAAAGAACCCAACAGCAGAATACACCAAAGAATTTATTAATATTACTATTAAAGATTGGGCAAAACTTACCTTCACTGTCACCTTTATTATCCCTGACTTCGCAGATAGATACCTATTCACTATTGACCTTACAAGGTCAGAACGTATTCCAAATTTGGTCAAATTCCCAGCACAATGGATATGCAAACACAATAATGCTACTCAATCAATTTTATTTGATCTCACAAACTACTCCAAACATAACTTTGTAAACATTAACGCCAAACTACCCAGAAGTACTCGCAGTTGTGACTTAGAAGTAACAATTAAAGCATATGAAGACACACAAAGAGCTTATGTAGCACCAAAATATTCAATGGAATTACCAATAGTTCCCTATAATCTAATACCAGAAATTGATACAGATGATGATGGTCACCAAAATAAGGAGACAAATAATGCAACAAATGCTACACCTACTTCCCAAAAGAACATAACTAATATCAGCACCCAGGCAGTACACAGTAACACAACAGCTTCCACAAGTAAAAGCAAAACTAACAGTTATACAAATCGAGTTAATAAACGCTCATCTACACAAGCTAATAGATTAACAAGTAATACAGCTGATCATATAGTACACAGACCAACTGTACAGTTAGTTGAAAATCAGAAAGGAAAGAAACGGGCCAGAATACAACCAATCATTACAGATTCAATAAATGTACCTCCCCCTATCCACTTACCTTCTACAATCTCACCTACATATTCAGCTGCTACAATAGATCTTAACTCTATTCAAAAACCATCCTATAGCGAGATTACACAGAAAGCCTTCAAATTACCAACTTTTAACGTACCAGACAGTATGGAATGGGCAAATCTTATACAAAACAAGATAGCAGAAGGAACTAAAACACCATTTGACCAACAGCTCTGGTCATATGACACAATAGTAACAGCCTTACAAACTGCAGCTGGTATTCAACAGTTTGTAGGATACAAACTTAGCTCTATTCTGACCCAAATAGAAATACCTTCAGCAATACAACTAAAATTCAAGCATCAGGATACAAGATTTTTCACCACATTCACAAGAAATGCTAATACGATGCCAGCACATCAAAGAGAATATGCGAATCTGTATAATGATGCAACTAGAAATTATAAAACCTCTAATCAAATTACGATTATTGACCGAGATACTCATAATCTAATATACTTGATATTAAAGAAAATGCTTATCTCACAATACCTGATGAATACAAACTTCGTAACCCTTACACCCTTTGCAATATTTAAATTAATTTATTACACCAGAGGTTTCTTACAGATCCAAAATGAGAATGAACATACACCTAAAGAAATCAAAACAGCAATTAACCAGTCATTACAAGAAAAACTTGCTCTATTACCTGAAAAGCCAGAGCAGATTTTAGATACAGTTAAACAGATTTTACCATTCAATTTACCTATTACACAAAAGTCACACACTAAAGCTATAGTCAATAGACTACGAAAGATCTTCAGTTTCGATCAGCTTCCGGAGTCATATTTTGTTAAACTGCCACCACCACCAGAGGATGTAACTAAAATCCACAATGAACTTTAGCAATATTTCCCTATTACAAACCGACAGGCTCTTCAAAATCTGGGATACTATCGCTGCAAACTTGCTGATTACTATACAGTTGACTCTATCCCCAAAGCATATTTCTAACTTCCACTACCTAAACAGCCACTCCCTACAACATATCAGGAACTAAACCCAAAGGTTAGAGGATTTTTCCCTACCATTCGGATGCAACAAATATACAACTAGCAGAGGTAGTGGTATTAGTACGACAGTACTATACATTCAAGCTCCTTCCTAATGATTATTTTGCAACTAAACCATTACTCTCCTCCAACCCAGAGCACATCAAAACTAGTACGCAATTTACCTTCCCAATTACAGACAACATTATAGCACAAAACTTTATGCATGAAGTCTCACAGAAATATAGAATAAGACTCCTACTACACATAATATCATGCAAGCAAATCCTACCAATAAACCTAGTGACCAGGTTATAGCAGAACATAATATTACTATACTAATTACATCATCTCAGCAACTTACACAAACTGCAAAACTTCTTCGCCAACATTATTATTTTACAAAAATACCAGAAGAATGAATAAAGATTCCAACTTAAGCATCCACAACCACCAACTCTAGTGATACAAATGCTATTGAACTACCCTTACCTTCTATATCAAACAATTTAGAGGACATAAACACAGTCCTAGCTTTTCACAATATACAGCTAGAATTACCAATTACATCACAAACACTAATCACTCCCACTATGCAAACACTGTGTCAGCACTTTACAATCAAAGCTATCACTAGCTTTTTACTTAAGTTACCTCCACTACCAATCCCATCTTGGGCAATATTTTCTCATGCAAATCCATCTCCTACCACTACTCCAGAGGCCAATACAACGCCGATGGACATGAATTAACTAACTCATGATAACACAATCTACATTCAAACCACTAACAGTTGTTACACACAATGCTCAAGGACTCAACCAAATCACAAAAAGACAATTACTGCTTGATTACTGTTTAGCCCAAAATTTTGATATTATTTCAATTACAAAAACAAAACTAGCACACTCCAGATATACAGATAGAAACCTACACAACCAGTACTATAAATGCTTTTCATCTAATAACTTAACTACAACTGCTCTACACCCTAGAGAATCCAGTGCAGGCACAGCTATTCTAATAGCCCAACCACTCACGACATATATACACAACATTCAGATATTACCAGGTACTGCAATTGCAATTGATTTATTCTTTCCATATAAAAACAACTTCCATATTATATCAGTATATTTACCAAAAGACATACTTACAAACAATAAAACTCAAGACCAGATTATCTGATGGATCCAGCAAGCTTACCAAGCTCAGATCATACCGATAATTCTTGGGGATTTCAACCAAGATCTACATAAACAACAAAGATCAACACTATACAAATATCTCAAATCGTATAATTTTATACCTTTAGTTCATACTTACCACCCTCACTCACCTACTTGGAGTAGGGATAACCTCTCTAGCCAAATCGATGAAATATGAATACCTCAACAAATTATGCATCTTGCTATACAACCTACACTTACTTCTGCAATTCAGATTACAAATAGTGACCACTGTATTATACACACTAATTTGCAGCTATATGTTAACCCATCTAAACATCACAAGAAACATAAGTTTAAAGTCTATAAATATGACATTATGACAACTGAACTCTGGGAACAATTCCAACAGAATACCCAGAATACCACTTCTCAAACTACAGAAGAAATAGCGAATACCCTTTCAATCAATCAACTTTGGCATCAAATCAATACAGCAATTACTAAATCAGCAAAGACACATATACCTTTTTCACAGCGATCACAAAAAAAACACAATACCTTTTCACCCAAAGCAACAAAAATGCACACAGCTTTAAACTTATGTGGTAGTATACTCTATACCTTGGTAATACTAAATAAAAACCTCAACAACTACTTGCATAATCACAACACTATGCTCCAAACAATTAATCAAAAAATTCACACAGTACAGCAGCTATCCAATCTTCCTATTACAGATCTAGCTTTACAAGATATTAGTAATAACAATATCACAACAACTATTAATATTATGAAAACACACCAGAAAACTCTATATCACACACAAGAAACAGAAAACCAACAGGCCTTCGCACAACATATCCATCAGTTCATTGAGAAAGATATGACAATTTTACATCGCATACTACAACAATGATCAATAGCATTCTTGATAAACGTACTGATACAGTAACATTTCAAAACATTAAGCTACCAAACACAATTATTACAGATCCTTATGAGATTCGAAACCATATACAAAGTCACTTTAAGAACTAGACTAAATACAATCCTAATGATCTGATACTCTAGAAGCAATGGAACCAAAAATATATACCACAACATCATATAGATCCATTTTGGTACCAAACACTAACCCAACCTATCACAAGACAGGAAGTAATTCAAACTATAAACCAATCACCTAACAATAAAGCTACAGGACCATCACTCATCTCCAATGAGATGTTAAAACTGGTTCAGCTCACTTCACCAACGCTTGTTTTGTAGAAATAACATTTCACCGACAACAATTCACCGACATTATTTCACCAACATTTATTTTCCATTTCACCGACAGTTTATTTCAGCGAAACTTATTTCACCGACAAAATAATCCTGGTAATTGTCATTAGGGTCGGGTTAGAATTAAAGTTAAGGTTAGTGGAATTCATATGAAATAAACTATAGGTGAAATAAACTTGTCTACGAAATAATGTTCGGTGAAATAGACATTCGGTAAATTTTTGTCAGTGAAATGTTATGTCTACGAAACTAGCGTCGATAAAGTGATATGTATCCGTTAAAACATATTCACCCTCACGTTATCAAACTACTAACAATACTATTTAACAAATGCTTAGAGACCTCAGAGATTCCTACAACATGGAAACACAGCAAAATATACCTGATATCCAAAAAACCCATATTTACAGGCCAACTAAACCATACAAGACCTATTACACTTATAGAGCATACACGTAAAATTTTTACAAAAATTATCACAAATAGGCTTACCCAGATTATGACACAGTATCCAATACTCCATCCAAACAATTTTGTAGCAACCTTATATAATTCTACTGCACAACCAATCCACATCCTTACAAATATCCTGCAAGAAGCCCAAACTCAAAACAAAGAGATTTGGCTTCTTTTACAGGATATGAGCAAGGCATACGACTCAGTACATCTACCTCTACTTCAACATGCACTAAACAGGTTACAAATTCTGAACAAAACACAACAACTACTTATAAATATCCTTACAGATCATCAAAACTCAGTTATAACAAACCTTGGACCAACCCTGCCCTATCCAGTACAAGATGAGATTAACCAAGGCGAAACTATCACACCCCTCCTCTGGCGCATCTACTATAACCCACTTATCACCACAATAGATTCTGAATTTCATGGCTATACTATAACTATACAACCTCCTAATCATAATCCAATAACATACCATACCTCTGTACTAGCATATATGGACAACACCCTATGGCTAGCCCCTAATAGAGAGGTACTCCAAAAAATTGTCAATTGTGCTTCGTCCTTTTATAATATGGCACATATCACTGTTAATCCCACAAAATCAGTTCTTGCTACAAACTATACTAAAGATCTAAATCCTTTCATTATCTTCACGAACCCAATTATACCTAGTATATCACTTAAACAAACCTTCTGATATCTAGGATGCTGGTTTACAGCATCTAACAATCATAAACACATCCATAAACAAATTACAAAGGAGGCTACTGATCTAATTAACACTTTAAAAAAGAAAAAGATAACAGAAAAGCAAGCAATTTACATAATAAATACAGTACTTATACCACAATTTTCATACAGAACGCTTAACACATACATTCCCAAAAATAGCAACCGTATAGTTACAAACCAATACACACAAGTGATCAAACACAAAGCAGGGCTGGCAACAACTGTCCCCAACTTAACATTATTTCACCACCAAATCTATGGCCTAAGACAACTACAGGAAATATAAGAACAAAATTATATATCAGCTTTGCATAACCAACTCAACAACCCCATTACTGCTAAACCCATAAAAATATATTTACAACACCTTCAAAATGCTATTCAGTCATCAACAAACATTTTACAATCATCACAGTTTATCTTACCAAAAATATACCACAATACACTAACTGTACAAACTATCTACGCAGCACATAAACTTAACATCAATATTATTAACCTACCAAACCCTTGGCCAATTTGCAGAAAACTTCCTGGGACCTCTATTGATATACTAATTAGACACTGCAAAAAACCACACCATATAAAAACATATACAAATAAAGCAAACATATATGCTATTGAACAGCTCACCAACCATATGAATACATATCTTCTTCAATAGCACCATATACCATATAAGATAAACAAAACAATACCAGGACACACCCCTAAATGGCTTACTACACTGCAAGATACATTTCTAAACCCAACAATACCATATATCGCAACTATCAATTCCAACCTATTTACAACTAACAATAATACACTCTCACGTGGAGTATGGATTCAATCCTTTCAAATGCTTTACATAATAGTAAGATAACTATATGGAGGTGAGTCAATAGAAATCAAGCAAATTGTTTATATTGAATTTTTTTAAAACTTTATATACCAATAATTTAACCAAAACTTAATCAAATTTAATAAAAATTTTTTTAAACAAATTCTATAAGTTTGTAGAATTTATTTAAAAAATTTTTATTAAATTTAATTAAGTTTTTGTTGAGTTATTGTTGTTTAAAGTTTAAAAAAAATTTACTTAGAAAAAATTTGCTTGATTTCTATTGACTTAACCCCATATATATATCCTATAACAGAAGATAAACAAGCAAAGAAATTCTTAGTAGATGTGAAGAAAAAATATAAAGTAACCTTCCCAATTAACTCAGAAATTATGACAGCTAATCCTACAGATAAGCCACGACTACTAGAAGATCCTGAACAAATTAAACAGTTCAACATCACAATACCTATAATTACACCAAGACAACTAGTAAACACAGTATGACTACTATGACAAGAATACTACTTCTCAAAAATACTAACTAGTTGGATCAACATAATACAAAACAAAACAACAGAACCAACTGCTCCAAAACCAGAAATATCACAATCACTTGTAAAACTCCAGAAAGCACTAGAAACCATCACTGATGAAATTTATATTATGATTCCTATTGAAAAAACAAGAAGATGTAACACTAACTCTTGAAATACTAAGACAACACTTCACCATATCAATAATTCCAGAATACCTACTCAAACTACCTCCACTCTCAGAACCAACTTTGCTTAATATTCTGGATCAATATACCCAAAACAAATATATCAACAACAACATAACAACAATTACTGAACTAAACATTGCAATGACAACATACAAGAGTTAAACAATAGAATGAAACTACAAACCTGGTTTGAGTTCTGCTACAAAGCACACTTCCACATCATTAGTATAACAGAAACAAAAATCGCAGAAACGTCTTACTCTAAACTTATACTATCTAATCCATATTACAAGATATATATGGCAAACAGCACAATGGCTACAGCTAACAAACAAGAGGCAAGTATGGGAACAGCAATAGCAATCAACAATTACCTACAACCATATATACAAAATATCTTAACTTATCCCAGAACGGCAATTGCGATTGACTTTTACTTCCCGAACAAGAACCAAATCTGTATGGTCTTAGTTTACTTACCAACAAACAATAAACAACTAAACTTAAGCACACAAAATGCAGTAGCAAACTGGATAAAGGAAGCAACAAACAAA